GCGGGGCCGCCGCGACGCTGCCTCTGCCGCAGGAGCTCTACGAGACAGCCATCGAGTTCCTCAAGCTGGAGAAGGTGGAGCTGGGCGGCGTGAGGGGCAACATCTTCGGCAGCCAGGTCTTCCAGATCTACGAGGAGGTCGCCGAGCTCGTGAGGGTCTTTGCGGACTGCAAGTACGACCCGCTGGACCCTGCGGAGGAGGTGAGCGGCGCCGCGGGCGGGCAGGGAGCAGGGACAGCAGAGTCGCTGTGGGTAAATGAGGGAGGACGCGGGGGCAAACGCAGGGCTGCTGCCACTTGAATCACTTGGTTCTTGTTGACAGCAACTGGATAAAGATTTTGCCGAGTTCCAGAACAAAATCCAGGATTTTGACCGGCGCCTGACGACCATCTTCTGCCAAGGGTTTGATGACTGCAACAGCATGGCCTCTGCTGTGAAGGTAGGCAGCCTCACAGCCCCTGGGCTTGGGACATCCCTCAAGGTTACTGCTCAGTGATTTGAAATTCCAAGCAGATTCCCAGCCCTTGTGCTCAGGAATGACCATCGGGGCACTCTGATGCACAGCACGTTAATCCTTTCTTCCCCTCCCGCAGCTGGTGCACATGTTTTCGTCGCTGTTGGAGCGACCCCTGATCAAGGCGGAGGTTTCCCCCTACTACTCAGCGCTGCTGGAGATGTTCAACACGGAGCTGGACAACGCCAAGACCATGTATGATGCGCAGATCGCGGCGGCGAAGGCGGCAGGGGGCATCCCACCCATCAACAAGAACATGCCGCCCGTGGCCGGGCAGCTCAAGTGGGCACTGGAGCTGCAGGAGAGGCTGGAGGGGCCCAGGAAGGACCTTTGGGCCATCGACCACCCGTGAGCCGAGTTCTGCCGCGCGGCCGGTCCCGACCTGCCCAACGCGGGTCATCCTGGCCCCACTCACCCGTTAACTTCTCTCTCGTGGTCTGGGCAGCGTCATGGCCAGCGCGGAGGCTCAGCTGGTGGCCGGGAAGTACGAGGAGATGATCGAGCTGCTGCGAGGGTACCGGGAGAAGACCTACGCTGAGTGGATCAGCAGGGTGGACCAGGACTGCCAGTTCAACCTGGAGCAGCCCCTGATCCTGAGGGACCCCGATTCATCCCTCATTAGCGTCAACTTCAGCAGAGAGGTCGGTGCTCGGGCTCCGCAGCAGGGCACGTGGCTGGTTCCGTGCGGCCCTGCAGCGCGGCCGCCCCGGTCACCGACCCCGCGCATCCCTGCGCGAGCGCCTGTCCGTGCTGACGCCGCGCGGCATCCCGCAGCTCGTCGCGGTCCTCCGCGAGGTCAAGTACCTCAACTTCCAGCAGCAGAAGGACATCCCAGCCAGCGCGGAGAGCCTCTTCGCGCAGAACGAGATGTTCCGGAAGTTTGTGGACAACCTGGACCTCATTGTCACCTGGTACAACAAGGCAAGCGCCCCGCTTGCCCGGAGCGCCCCACTGGCCATGGGCCAGGCTCGGGCAGCCTGAGCTGGTGCCCAATGTGGCCCTGTGGTGACACGGGGCTCCCCACGGCCTCCCCGCGAGAAGATCCCGACTCCAGTGCAAAGGCTGTGAGTCGGGGAGCAGAGCACGGGGCCCTCCCGGCGCTGCGGGACCAACGCGCAGGGCCTCTGCTCGCAGATCCGGCGGACGGTG